GAAATGACCAACACACCAAGAGGACATTTGGCGCTCTGTTAAATCGGGTTCACGTTACTACTGTTATTCGCATGCACAAATGTAACTGTGCACAATCAGTCGCCAACTGGCATGTACAGATGAACCTTTACACAATTAGTCGCCAACTGGCATGTACAAATGTACCTGTACACAATCAGTCGCCAATTGTCATGTACAAATGTACCTGTGCACAATCAGTAGCCAACTGTCATGTACAAATGTACATGTACACAATAAATCGCCAACTGCCATGTACACATGTACCTGTGCACAATCAGTCGCCAACTGTCATGTACAAATGTACCTGTACACAATCAGTCGTCAACTGTCATGTACAAATGTACTTATACACAATCAGTCACCAACTGTCATGTACAAATGTACCTGTACACAATCAGTCGCCAACTGTCTTGTACAAATGTACTTATACACAATCAGTCACCAACTGTCTTGTACAAATGTACCTGTACACAATCAGTCACCAACTGTCATGTACAAATATACTTATACAATTTTAGTCACCAACTGTCATGTACACATGTACCTGTACACAATCAATCGCCAACTGTCATGTACAAATGTACCTATACACAATTAGTCGCCAACTGACATGTACAAATGTGCCTGTACATAATCAGTCGTCAACTGTCATGTACAAATGTACTTATACACAATTAGTCGTCAACTGGCATGTACAAATGTACCTATGTACAAATGTACTTATACACAATTTGTCGCCAACTGACATGTACAAATGTACATGTACACATACAGTCGCCAACAGTCATGTACAAATGTACCTGTACACAATCAATCGCCAACTGTCTTGTACAAATGAACCAATACACAATCAGTCGCCAACTATTCGTTTTGGGATTGTTTGAAAAGATAACTTTAACAAAGAGTGACGTCAATTTGTTAAGAACATTACTTGAAGTTTAGAATATATGTTATTTCCTGTATTTAATGCTGTTGATTTACAATGTATTCATGAATGCAAAGAATAAAAGCAGGAGAGCAAAATTCAAATCTTATTCTCCTCATGGTAACTTACATTTTTCACGAAAAAAGTTTAACAGGAAAAAATGTGAACTTTTTTGGTGTGGTCTACTTTTTTTTCGGCAATCCATAAATTGTTTTAAAAATGACTTAAAATAGGCGACGCGTTCAGAAGCGCCAGGGGTGTGATCCAAGTCTACCGGAAAGCATGCAGATCCTGCTTCACATGTGGCACCCGTCGTGTTGCTCATAGTAAGTGCAAAAAAGTTCAAACAAAATAGGAGTCAAGGACTATACGTCAATGACTCGGCAACTTAACGATAAAAAAAATCTAAAAAGCATCATATGTTATACTTTAAATCTCAACGAATCAAGAATAGTGATGATTAATTCAAACAAAGAATTGACATAGTTATATCACCATTTAAGTCCAAATTCCCAAAAGAACAAACCAATCTTTAATTCATAACCAAAGACACAAACGAGATTCCCGACTCTAGACAGGCAAGCACGACGGAGTTTACCAGCTTGCAAACCGACAAAGGAATTTACAGACCGAGTATTAGTCTGGCAACAAAAGCTTTACCAAAATGCAGACAAAAGGTCCGTGTAACACTTATTAATTAAAAACTTCAAAAAGCTTTCAAATTTTAGTTTTTTTGATTTTTGATCAAAGTTTTAAAATATCAAAATTCCAAATTTTTTATTTTTTTTTAAATTTTGAAAATTTCACCAAATAATTAATATTTTAAAATTATAAACTTCGTTTTAAAACTTAATTGTTTAGATATTTAAGCAAACTTTAAAAATAATTAAACTGAACGTACAGTTTTGATCATTTCGCTTTTTGAAAGTTTGAATTTTTTTGATTTTTGATTAAAATTTAAGAAAGAGGGAAAGGACTAAAAAGTGGATACCTGTTACAAGTGCGAAACGGAATAAGAATGGAAGGAAACGAAATGAAATTTCCTAAAACAAGTCAAAACGAAATCAATATTTTCTGAAAAACTAAATATTATAAAAATGATAAAACAAGAGGCTAACTTGTGACCTACCGAATTACTCATTACAGGGTTTGTAATAACATGAGCAACTCGACGGATGGCACATGTGGAGCAGGATCTGCTTACCCTTCCGGAGCACCTGAGATCACCCCCAGTTTTTGGTGGGGTTCGGGTTGCTCAGTCTTTAGTTTTATATGTTGTGTTTTGTGTACTATTGTTTGTCTATTGGTCTTTTTTTTCTTTTTCAGCCATGGCGTTGTCTGTTTATTTTCGACATATGAGTTTGAATGTCCATCTGTTATCTTTCGCCCCCCCCCCCCCCCCCCCCCCCCCCCCCTTTTTTTTTGATCTGATTTTTGACACACTTTGATTCTCTAACTAAATGAACAATATGCAGAAATCACTTGTCGGCTTTGTGATTACTGCTATTTTTAAATAGCGAAAAAAGGAAACGGGATATTCGATTTTTGAAATAAGGGATACATGTAGTTCCGTATTTGTTATTAGCACTCTTGTAAGTTATCATGCGACAATCAACTTTGAGCAAAATACAAGTACGCAGCTACGTCCAGTCAGAATGGGGCGTGTAGAGAGAGTGCCACCGTTACATCAATTCTTTGAGTGGGTCGTTGATTGAAAAATTTTCCCTATTCAATATACCCTAATTTTAATTTTCCAGTAGCGATCTAAATTTGCCGACCTTCATCCTAAACGGACTCTATTACATGACCTACCTATTGTATTTGTTGTTAATTTGTTTTAGTCCTGAACATGCATGACATATTTGCCACTGGCAACCAACCATCAATCATTTAAAATAGGCCATGTATATATAAAGTATAAAGAAACTCGGGCAAAGTTTCTCTTAGATGGATTTTGCTATTTTTAATGTCCCTTTTGGCCATACACCTCTTTAATTGTTTCGGTTCTTATATTTACTTGGCCTTCAAATATTCAGCTAGAGCGTTCCGGGTGTAGGTAAATACAGAAAAGCGCTTCGGACGTATGTAGTCAAGTGTTGTTTGAATTTTTATTGGATATTCCATTCACTTCAAATGTTATTGTCAACTGGAAATAGTACATGGGCGGATTAAGATTTTTGTTACTGTAATCTAATTTATTGCGGGGAGTTCTCTTTTAGTAGAAAATTTGTTTTTATATTATATTTTTCACTGCTATTCCTAAGTTATCTTATCCGTATTTTTAAAACTCATGAGTTCGCCTCTGTAGTATGTACCAATCATTTTATCATTGACTGTAAATACAAAGTTAGCATGAGATTGAATTGAAAAAAGACTGTGAATCCCCTGTACTCGGTGCTAAAGACCTTTTTAAAAGGCACCCAGAGATTTCTTATATATCGTAATACTGCAAGGTTATTGTAAAATATTTTCAGTACAGAAAATTAACATTAAATCGAAAAAGGTTAAATTTGATCGATATTGAAATATATTTTGTGACTTCATGGGAATATATAAGGTTGCACTTTGTAAATACAGCTGTTTCACAAACCACGTCTCTTTTGGGGAAATATTCAATATTCATAGATAAATTGTTTTGTATATGTACTGGTTCCCAGAAATTATCTTTATGTTTCACCTCATAGAGACATAGGTTGGGAATGTTACCAGTATAAATAAAAAAAATATAGCGGCAGCCTTGAATTCTAAGTGAGACCAATAGTGAAGGTAGGGGTAGTACAGAATTTAAGTACAAGTTTAAACTCTTATGAGTTCGGGGCATATAAATGTTGAAAATATGCAGCACAGCCCTATATTTTGACCTTTGATAAAAATAGTTGTGCATATGAGCTCTCCATTATAGGATATAATTTTTTTCGAAACTTCATAGTAAAAGTGGTACAGTACGTAAAAGGAGTTCCTATAATATTGTTCTTTACTATGGATACCAGTTGAAATCTAGAAAAAAAAAGTTGTTAATGCAAAGAATGCCTTCTTTCGAATTCACATGTTTTCTTTTAAAAAAAAACGGTAAATTTTCGATAGCAAATTTTAAAATGTACTAGTTTCAAGTTAGCAAATGGGCCGGTTTTTTTTAATGAAAAAATGTGCATACGAAAGAAGGCACTCTCTCTGTCATTAATTATAATAAACGTAATACATTGCTTTACATTAAAGCAGAAAACGTTGGAAAAAGTGAGGATCTGGATGGGTTCCTTCATTTCTGTATTCTTTCGTCTTTTAAGCCATTTTTCTCGATTCTTTATACGTTTTGCCCATTATTCTATATTCTTTATATTTTAGCACCTCATTATTCTCTACCTTTTTAGTTTTTATGTCCATTTTTCTCTGTTCTTTATATTTTTCCCTCATTATTCTCTATTCTGTAAACCCCCATACACGCCCTCATAAGTGAAGCATTTTCTTTAATATTTCCGGAGTAAAATATAAACACCTTTCCTTTATTCTATCGTTATACTATTGTTTTCTATGTGGTAATTTGCATGATTTCCTTTTGCTTACACATAATCATACACACACACACATATATAAAACCTTTTCAACATAAGGGTTTGAGCTTCCCCAACTCTATTGCTGGAACTAAAAATGAACTGGATGAACGATGGATGCATTAATCAAGATCAACAAAAAAAACCCAACATTTTCAACTTTGAACAAGAAGTAAGGAAAAACACAAGAAAGCAAATTATCTAATACTTCTGTCGGGTTGTTGTCTCTTTGACATATTCCCTATTTCCATTCTCAATTTTATTATAATGCATTTTTACCTATATAGTGTACTATATAATTAATCCAGAAACACTGTACAGCAGGAAATCAGAACAAAACCAAATCTTCAAATTAAATCTTAAAGAAAGTTCAAGGACATATATACGAGCATAGATAAAGGTCAAATTATTTAAATAAAAATGAGCATAGGCAAGGGGAAAACTGCTGAATATAGATTTAAAGTACACACACATGCATATACACACACGCATTAATTCTTACTCACCTGGTAAAAGAAGATTGTACTAGAGTTCGTGGAAGTATTATCCCAAACTGAAGTCTGCTTAGGAGCAAGCAAAGTTGTTGTATTTTCCATGTCTTTCTTCCTTTGTCCTAAAATAATCACTATTTTTTTCCTTCAAAGATGACAATAAAATCTTAGTCCGTAAAAAATACCATCTGTTATATAAGTAACATCAGAAACAATACTATTTAATATCTGTTATATCCAAAAACACTGACAATTCTTAAAGATTTTTTCTCTGTACGATTTGTCAATATGTTTGTTAACCTGGATGTTCTTGGGGCGAACGCGAAGTTAAACCAGTTTTTTTTTCTATTTGATTTTATTTAACTGAATGAAATCACAGCGTTATCTATACTATAAATTTCAATTCGTAAAAGTGTTTGTACTCAATATTATAAACTATAAAATTATCTAACAGTAGTCATCCGTAGTCAGTTCATAATATCGACAGGAATGACTACTCGCGTGGATTGATACAGTGACAGTGTCCTTAAAACAGAAAATTAGATGTAAAATTGTATTTCTCCTCAGCAGATGTCAATCAGCTAGTCATTGTACGCCTCTGGAATCTCACGATTGGTTCTGTAAGATTTTTATAAAAAGAAATCATAACACATGTTGATTCTAATTAATCACGAAGCAATACATCGTTTCACTAATGTTCATCATGGGTAAATAATGAACAATGGATACCTAGTTAATTAAATTATAAGGATTAATAAACAGGTGCACGTTACCGTTGTCGATATTGATATTGACGTTTCTTGTGTATTGCCCATACGGGATCAGTAAGGTCTGATGTAAAATACTTACATTAAACGGAATATTTAGATCTATATTAATGTGAAAACAAATCTAACTTTGTTCGTACTAGTGTTGTCACATGCTTATGTTTAATTATGTATGTAACGATTTAGCATACTTACAATGGATTTATTTTTTAAAATATATAAATAGGCAATTTAATACATATGATTTGCTTGTACACACTAGACGATAGTTTGCACGAGACGTGCACTTATATTCACGTTTGTGTAGGTCATATTGATATTTAAAAGGTTTAGAGATTATGTTTGTAATGTTTCATGTAAACCCGACTTAAAATCAAATTTTGTATTCTATTTATTTTATTTTATTAAATATACAAGTAGGCAATTTAATACATTAAATCTACACTAGACGATAGATCGAGACGTGCACGTAACGGTACGTTGGCGTAGGACATATATATTAATATGTAATATGGTTCTTTTTTTGGGGTACTTTTGAATATCAAAAGATTTTAATCTGTGTACTGTGTTATTAATTGTATATTTCATGATCGTTTTTTATCAATCTGTGGAATAGACAGGATTTATACCTAACATAAAATATATCTCTAGACAAAGAAATTTGAGAACCTTGTAATTACATTTTTTATATTCAGATAGAAAATGTACAAAACAAAGAAAATTATATCAACCTCGGGCATTTGCGGCAGAAAATAATAAGATGTCTATGAGTAATGAAGTCCTTCTGTTTACCTGAATAAAGGTCAAAAACTTTTAATAAAATAACGAATAGGGAAAGATTTGTCAACACGATTTGGAATGACTTGACTCAAGCTAGCGAACAATTAGCTAGCGAACAATTATGAGGTTTAAATAAAAACCACAATTTCACATTAGACGATCAAGTATTTTTCGAGATAGCGAACAATTACAGAGACCTAGCGAACAATTATGTATATTATATATTAGTTTATTTTGGACCAATTTATAGAGATTGTGACTGGCAACGACTATGTAGGTGATGTAGGGGAGACATTGGTGTATTAATTAGGAAAAACTCAAGAATGGTTTATATTCCAAACTCTGAAGCTAGGCTAAAAAAACCTAAAATTGACAAAATGAAATTAGGGGGTAGGGCAGTTTAAGTTAATTTTGGACCAATTTATAGAGATTGTGACGGAAAACCACTATACAGGTGTTGTAGGGGAGACATTGGCGCATCGTTTAGGAAAAACTCAAGAGTGGTTTGTGTTCGAATTTTTGAAGTTATAGTTTAAAAACCTGAAATTGCCAAAAATTAAAATAAGGTGGTACGGCAATTTAAGTTAATTTTTGGATAAATTTATAAAGATTGTGACGGGCAACGACTACATATGCGTTGTAGAAGAGACATTGGCTCAACGTTTAGAAAAAACTCCAGAATGGTTTATGTTCAAAAGTCTGAAGTTAGGGTAAAAGAACAAAAGTTACAATTATAAAACGCTTACGTTTCTCTTTTTCTTTAGATTAATGCGTATTTATGAACATAATTATACATGCAAACAAATAAATATTTCCCTGTCAATTATGTATTTTTTTGTTATTATTTGAAATGTATGTTTTTATTATTTAGTTACTTTTTGTTGGGTTGCTTAATGATTGACATTAACACTTCATTTGGTTTTATTTGTATCAAATGAACACTCATTAATTTTGCAAATAAAAAAAATAGGTCTTGCTATACCAGTTTCTAATTACTTTATTTTTATTTTAAATATGCAAATGCAAAGTGATACATTGCACATAACTATTACATCTTGTTTACTTTTGTTTACTGAGTTTGGACCGATGAACATAAATCCTTCTTTTGAAACAGTTAAACTTGTTATAAAATTTTGGTGAGAGGAAATCTGTCACTGAAACCAATTAATCCACCGTTAAATTTGGTGGTTCACACAATAAAATTCTGACCTAAAAATTGTGTAAATTGTTTTGAAAAGCTTTCTATAATCATTATCCATCATTAATGATTGTCTATCATGTGTCTCTAGATTTCAATCAAACCCATGTTTTATTTAAGAAACGGGGGAGGGGGAGGGGGGTATAGTTAAAGGAGGGTCGTAATGGGGGTACCTTCATGACGAATAACAATAAAAAAAAAATTACCACAGTTTTTATATAAGATGTAGAAAAACTAACGTGGATTCTTAATGAAACTGCTATTCACATGTTGGGTTTAATTTTCTTGTTAAAGAAATCATTTCTCTCTCTCTTTCATCCCTCTCTTCAAATATATAACATTACATGATAAAAAGGAGGCAACCATATATTCCATTCTGAGGTGTTGTTTTGGAAATTAGAGATAACTTCCTGGCTAAAGTTGACATGTAAATGTGAAAACAGTCTTTGTTTTGAAGAAGTTTAATGAAAAATCATGATTATTTGTTTTTGTAGCCAGTTTGAAAATAGCTCGACACCCTAAACTATATTCTTATTTGTTAATCCCGAACTAAAACCGTTTTTGAAAACCAACTACACTGGTTTATATGGTTTGAACATTTGGGATCATTTGGCTATCATATTCAAGATATGGTTGATTGCAATTTATTTATACCCAAGGCAACAGGATTAAATCAGGCTCTTAGAGTAGAAACAGTTTAAAACATCAACTTTAAACTGAAATTAGTAGGTTCAAACAGATCTCACTTTTTTATTTAATAACTTGTCCTTTCGTAAATTAGCCAAATATAATTAGTTTGTTGATTTGCTGTTTTTATACGATTGTGTGACAGACGGAGGAAAGCAGGAATAACAGTGCCAAAATCAGTATAGCTCAATGTCCAATACGCAGTTTAAAAGTCCTTTTTTTGCAATTGCATGTCCGTTGAATACGGATATTGATTTTAAGAAAAATAGTTTGTTACTAAGCTGTGCTATTGTTTGCTTATAATTACATTACATATAACACTAAGGAGATCTGGTATGATTGCCAATGAGACAACTATGTCCAGTACGCAGTTTAAAAGTCCTTTTTTTGCAATTGCATGTCCGTTGAATACGGATATTGATTTTAAGAAAAATAGTTTGTTACTAAGCTGTGCTATTTTTTGCTTATAATTACATTACATATAACACTAAGGAGATCTGGTATGATTGCCAATGAGACAACTATCCACCAAAGTTCAAATGAAGTGGATGTAAGCAATTATAGGCAACCATACGGTCTTCAACAATGAGAGAAACCCATACCGTATGGTCAGCTATATTAGACTCCGACCTAAAAAATATGAAACAATTCAATTGAGAAAACAATCGGCATAATTGAACTACAGGCTCCTGGCTTGGGACAGGCACATACATAATGTGGCGGGGTTAAACATGTTTGTGAGCACTCAACCCTCGATCCCATTTTCCGCTTCCGCGATTCATACAAAATGTGTTTCTGTCAACACTTTTACACCCCAATAAAATGACAAAAAGAAGCTTTCATTTCTTTAAGATATCGGCCTGTTTTGTCGCCAAAAACGCCCGAGTCCTCTGTCAACTAGACCCTCTAAATTCGCTTATGAATACAAATTGCCTCAGCTCCTTGAAACAAATTGACGGAATTACCAGAAACTTGCACTGATTCTTCTTTAGGCGGGACATCAAGTTGTGCACCTACTTCTCCAACTTTTAGTCTGATTTTGTGTGTGTGTGGGGGGGGGGGGGGGGGGGGGGGGCGGTGGTGACACACCACAAAGAATATCACTCAGTATGTCTATAAATCGTTTCATATCTCTAGCATTATTTTAAGGACTCAAACGCATATTCATTTATTAATTAACTGTTTCGATATGACATATAATTTCTGCATTTAACACACCTAAAAGGTACTTTTAAATTTCGTCGCAATTTCCAGGTTAACCTGCAATATTAAATAGGATTAAATATGATTTCTTTATAAAACATAAAGGAAGATGTGGTATGACTGCCAATGAGACAAGTCTCCACCAGAGACCAAATGACGTTGAAGTTTACAACTATATGTTACCATACGGCCTTCAAAAATGAGCAAAACCCACACCGCAATTTAAGCTATAAAAGGCCCCGAAATGACAAAAGTAAAACAATTCATACGAGGAAACTAACTGCCCGATGTCATCGAGTTTGTCTTTTATCATTGCTTTGTTTCCTTAATTATATTTTTATAAAAATGTACAGTCTTAACAACTAAAACTAGAAATTCATTATCTTATCTCTGTCTTAATCTATTATCACTCAGTCTCTATAAAATATATTCGTTATTTAATCTCTTTAATCTTTAATTCGACCCTGTATTAGTATTTCATCACTGCTATTGCATATGAATAATATCCGACATCACAGACATATCACACCCAATAATTTAGTAATTCTTCAGAATCGTCATCATACCGCTAAAAACAATTTATAACTTATATATAAATAAAATGTTTCGTCGTAGTATCTTATATCTGCATTTTACATATTTTAACGATTTAAAGGTTCAGTTTGTTTTTCTTCAAATTTATTTTCTATTTATTTTGATTTGTATTTTGATAACTATAAAGGATATTGTGTTCTGTTCCAATATTTTACCAATTAAAGTAATGGACTTCTAATAGTAAAGCCAATTTTGCTATTTTTGATTAAACTAGAGGCTCTAAAGAGCCTGTGTCGCTCACCTAGGTTTATGTGCATATTCAACAAAGGACACTCTCCAACATTGTAGACAAGAATAGAATTCATGACAAAAATCACCAGACTCAAGCTGGCAGTTTAGCTGCCAATGGAGATAGTAACCACTTTTAGCAGCCAATGAAGATAGTAGCCACTTTTTATTCCAGCAGCCAATTTGTATAATATATTTACCCCCCCCCCCCCAAAAAAAAACAAGAAAAAAAAAAAAA